CCCCAGCCCCCCGAGCAGGGTTTGACACAGTGAAGTGCTGCATGAATATCTGCCGAATTAACGAACCACAGACGGGCAGGTTCTGCTGGGGCCACAGACGTCACAGGCCTGCCTTTCTGCTCGTCCATATAATAGTAAACACTAGCCTCTCCTGCCCACTCGCTGTGCCCCAGGGGCCTCCACATACCACCTCCAATTCCAGGATAACTGCCTCTGGGCGCTAGCACCACTGTCTCACAGACGAGAAAACCGAGACTCAGAGAGGCACACGGGCATGGGCCAGAGCTGGGGTTTGGAAGCGTGCAGACCTGCAATGCCATGCTCATTGCACTGATGCACAAGGCACGCATACTGGTTTGATGCTTGCTTCTTCATTCAGCCAACAAGTATTTACCCGGTGCCCACCACGTTGTCAGGTACTGTGCCGGCTGCTGGGCTTACAGAAGTCCCACTGATGAGGCCCCCGCACCAGGGAGCTGATATTATGTGGGGCACGGGGTGGCACAGCTGGCCAGCTCGAGATTCTCAGACCTGAAAACAGTACTGTCTTCTGGTTATGTGAAGGGCCATGAAGGTGCTGAGGCCAGCTAATGTCGAGAACTCTGGGGCAGGCAGTGGGTTGGGTGTTGGGAAGGCTGGTCTGAGCAGGGGACATGTGAGCTGAGACTAGAAAAGTCAGCTAAGTGAAGATCTGAGGGAATAGCGTTCCAGGCAGCGGTAACAGCAGGTGCAAAGACTTGAGGAAGGGGTAGGCGTGATGCATTTGAAGGACAAAAAGAGTGAAAGACGAGTGTGGCAGGTGACATGCTTGAGGCATAGAGAGAGGAGCCTGATGGCAAGAGACCCTCTCCAGGGCCTCTGGCAGACAGAGCCCACCCTGGTGGGTGGACATCAGTTCTGCTGGGGCACTTGACCAGCGTTTCCCAAGGAGCCTGACAGATTACACAGGGCAAATCTTGTGTCCACCTCCGGCCGGCCTGCTGGCGTGGGGTACACTCTACCTCGAGGCTGTGATACGCCAGGAGGGCCAGGTTAGATGTGTCCCCCAACAGGCAGGGGCTGGGGGCTCACTCTCATGACAGCCCCGACACTCTTGGTAGGCAGCCAGGGAGGAATGTCCTCAGAGGCTGGATGCAGAGCAGCCTGGAGTGCACCAAGGGATCAGAGGAACTTCTTAGGGGTACAGATTCCTGAGTCCATCATAACTGGACAACTGTCCTGGGAAACTGCGTGGAATCTGCATTTTCAGGGTGCGTTCCTAGTGACTCGGGCACAGCCAGGGCTGGCACAGCTGACCAGCAGCAGGGAGAACACAGGCCAGCTCCTCAGGGAGCTGAGATCCCCACCCTTAGCATGCTTAAGGAATAAGTACAAAGCTGGAGTGGGTGGGAGAACTTGATCCAGCTCCACTTCCTGGTCACAGAAAGAATGTTCTGGAGTCCAGACAGAGCCCTGGCTGGCCCACCCTACTCTCAGGGGGCCAGGGCAGGGCTGCCTCTGCCTAGCTTCTCATAGGGGGCCCCAGGAAACCAGGCAGAGCCCCCTCTGGGTAAAAGTGGGGCTTCCTTTTTTCCCAGGCCCTCAGCAATCAACATGGGCAGGAGGAGCTGTCAAATTTCACTTTTCCTAAACTTCCTGGGTTTGAGTTCCAACAAGCCCTCCCAGGGACCACTCCCTGAAAAAAGGAACTGGCACTGCCTGGACATGCACTGTGTGCTGGCCCCAACAAGGCCCTTCACCAAATCATCCTGCTTAACTTCCACAACAGCCCCGTGAGTGTGGATTTACATCCTGATTTGTCCCTAAGGGCCTGGAGACCCAGAGAGGCTAAGAAGCCGTGAGATACCCAGCAGGCAAGGCCAGGTATGAGACCTCAACTCGGTAGGACCTTCCCTTGGGAGGACAGCCAAGCTGCGGAGTCTCGGTGCTCAGAACATTTCGTGGGTACCAGTCCCTGTCATCACCCAGGCTGTCCCTGATCTGACACAAGGAGGGACATAGGAAGGGACGGGTGAATATCCTGGATGACTTATCCACTGCGCATGGCACAAACATCTTAGTAATACTGGGCCAAGCAGGTACCAGTGAGGGGGAAGAGGAAGTGGCCCAGAATGGAAGGAGCCAGAGATCACAAGAAGTGGGTTCTAATCTCAGTTCTGTGGTTAACGTCTCTGAGCCATTCTCTGGCCTCTATTTCTTTCCCTGTAAAGTGAAACTAAGTCCTACTTTTTAAAGATGTTATAAGTATTAGATGGTATTACAAACATATTTATTTAACAATTATAATAATAAATATTATACGATTATAAATATTATTTAATAATCATTTATGTAGGGTTTACTATTCACTAGGAACTATTCTCAACTCTTCTCAGACATTAATTCATTTAATTTCTCACAATAACCTTATAAAGTACAATCTATTATCCCCATTTTACAGATAAAATGGCACAGAGAGGTGAAGTAACGTACCCAAGATCACGCGGCTAATAGGTAGCAGAGCCTAGATTCGAACCATGGCAATCTGTTTCCAGACCAGGGTCTGTGCTCTTAACGACCATGCTTGCTTTTGCTCATTGTGGTGCAAACATATGGCGTACCACAGAACCCTGTGGTACATGGGTTCAGGAAATGAGGGTTCAGGAGCTATGCCACCCGGTTCACATCTCACCTCCCCACCTTCTAGCTGTGTGCTTCCCCTCCCTGTGCGTCAGTCTCCTCCGTGGTATAATGGGGACAGGTAAGGGAAGAGCTGTGTCATGCAGCCTGGCACGTAGGTCAGGAGCCCTGGGTTCCGAGCTCTGACCCTCAGCTGCTTCGTGACTTTTAGCAAGTCTTTTCCTCCTTGCTTATCCAACGGCATAGGGACAGGGTTGGAAGATCAGATTGCTGTTCCTGAACCATGGCTGCCTGGGGAACCACCTGGGGAGCTTTGTAAGATCTACAGCACTCTAGGCTCCCACTCATACCAAATAGATCCCCCAGGATGGGGGTGGGACCCTGGTGTTTATAAAAAAAAAAATACTCAGGGTGCAACCAGGGGGCCTCTAAAATCTGGCCAGCTCGAGATTCTCAGACCTGAACAGGGAGGAAGCCAGAGGAAGCAGAAGCAGCAGGCAGCTCCTGGAGCCCTAGGGCGGGGCGCAGGGGGCAGAAGGGCGGTGGATAGGGTGGGCCTCAAGTCTGCCCTGTGTGGACCATGGCCCAGGAAGTGTCAGGGCCGAGGAGGATGCGTCCCACGTTGGGGGGACATGGGGAATGCGGGTACCCAGCTGAGACAGGAAATATCCTAGGATCCCAGGTCCTAGACCCAGAGTCGGGGTACAGTCTGCCACCCCCCAGTAGGAGGCAAGACAGACAGCCCCACTCCACATCAGTGTGGCTAAAGAGTGGATCATCCTCGCCTCTCTTCCCCTCTGAGGGGAGGAGGTCCAGCCCCCTGGGGCCATGGTAACAGGTGTGGCTACTCCATCACCCACCAGACCCTGGTTCCTGTTTTATTCAAATCAAGCAGCTGTCAGGGGCCTGAGTCCAAACCTGCTACCTCCGGCAGCTGCTGGGAGGGGAAGTGAGCCAAGGACACTGTGAGCTGGGGAGACTGGCATCACTGTGCTACTTGGGGCCATGTGCTAGGCCTCCCTCCCACTATAGGGCACCCATGAGAGGTCAATGCGGCCAGCTAGGCAGGCTGCCTTGAAGAGACTGTGAGTAGACTGGGAAAGGCTCTTCTCATCTGGGCAGGAGTGCCTGGGGCTTCTTTCTTCCTGCTTCTAAACAGTGAGAGAAGGGGGTCCCTCACCAGTGTAGCTTTTATAGGACCAAAGCTCTCGGGGTTCAAGTCCCACACCTGTCACTCGGAAGCTGTGTGAACTTGAGCAAGGGTCATAAGTTCTCTGAGCCTCATTTGTTAAGGCAGGAATAGGGCAGTTCCTACCTCGCAGGGCTGCTGTGGGATTAAGATAATTTATACATGCAAAAATCTTATCCCCATGAATACGAACAGTGGAAGCTGTGCCTGGTGTCTTTCTCCTCAGCGCATGGGCCCAACCCACATAACCAGTGCCAGGCACACAGTAGGCACTTCATCAACACCCAACAATCTGTTGTTTCTGGCCCTTTCCTACGTCTCTCTGAACTGGGAAGTGGGGAGACTGTTACGTTTTGCTGAACAGGCAAATGGAGGGGCAGAGAACATAAGATGCTTTCTCAAGGTCAGGGCTAAGAAAAGCGGCCAAGATGGGAGACCGACCTCCTCATCCCTCAGTGTTCTCCAGACAACAGCCGCCTTGTTTGGGGAGGGAGAGAGAATTCCTTCCAGAACCCCCCGCAGAGGTCAGCAGCAGGGCCTGGGCAGGGCCCAGAGGTCAGCTGGAAGAATGACCAGCAGCACTGAGGCTGAAGTCCCTGTGGGTGCAGCCCTGCCCCCAGCCTGCCCTCCCTCCAGACCCGGCGGGGCAGGGCAAGCAGAGGGCTCCTTACGCAGGACAAAGATGAAACTGCTCTTGTCAGCCAGGATCCACACCCCGAAGCCCAGGATCATCGCGCCCAGGATCTGGAAGAGGAGGGGGCAGTTAATGGGGGCCCTGGGAGCAGGTGGGGTGAGAGAACCCTGCCCAGCTGTCCCTGTAGCTCAGGCCAGGGGGACATGAGGGAGCCACCTCTGGGGATGTCAGAGTGGGCTCGGGCCCTGAACCCCAAGTCTCAGTGAACCCCAGCAATCCAGACAGCAGGACCATATGTGGGGAGTCCCTCCTGCCCCCAGCCTCCCCACCCCATGCCCATGTGTGGTCAAACCGAGCCTACCGGCTCCGTGGGGCACAGCCTCCTGCCAGGGTATCCCCTCCCTTATCTCCTGGCCCTTCCCGTGCTCAGTGGTCATCTTCTCCACTCCAGCCAGCTCAGGGGCTGGGGGCATCCCAAACAAGCCAGGCTCTGGGCAGAACCCTTCATAAACTCGAACATCAGAGCCCAACTTGTCCTTCAGAGCTCGGCTCCAAGGCCACCTTCTGCAGGAGCCTTCCGGACTCCCCCAGGACCACTAAGGCACCCCTACTTCGTGGTAACTGCCGCGGGACCCTTCTGAATAGCCATTCCGCTGGATTTAACTACCATGTGTATCTCTCTGGTTAGACCGTGAGCTCCCAGAGAGCAGGGCAGGGCTGCATGCACCTTGTATCCCTGAAGAGCCTGGAGCACCAGGGGCTAAGGACTCAGGGAATGAATGAATTCATGAACCCAACTGTAAATACAGGAGAAGAAAGGCAAAGAAGTGGGGGGCAGCTGCCATAGGCCCAGGAATTCCTTGCCTCTCTCTCCTCCACCAGGGTGAGCCCGCGACCTAAGCCAGGTGGAACCCCAGCCAAGATTCACCATCTCACCAAGCCAGCTAAGGCTGGGGAAGTACTTGTAGTCTGGACAAAAGCACAGGCTCCCCTGGGCATGGGGGTGCCGCATCACCGCACAAGATTGGTCTTTACCTGGGACCTGGCCTAAGCCCACCTGGGGGATAATCAAACCTTGAAGATCCCAGCAGATCACCACCTCTACCACCAGCACTGGATTCCCACCTCAGCCATTATCCCACGGCCTCTGGTGCAAGGCCAGCAGCTGCCCATAACGCCTGCAGCCTGGGGCGAGCACCCTGGCCCAGGATCTCGATCGGCCTTGATTTAGTGTCATTACAGTCCAGACATTAAAGTCCTGGAACCCTGAGGAAGGCAAATGGGGTGCTTGCTTTGGGTGCAAAAATTAAGCGGCTACCAAAAAACTCAGTAACCAAGATAAATAAGAGTTTGCAGCAATTATTTACTTAAAAAAAAAAAAAATCAAAATTAATGGAAAAAATCCACGATGAACAAAATATCAAACTTTAAAAACAGGCTCAGTATTATCGACTTTTTTTCCTTCTTTTTTTTTTTTTTTGAAAAGGAATGGAGCCCCAATGTGGCACAGCACGGGCTGTTTCGGTCTGGAAGTGAGTACCTCGCTTACCCTTCCCTAGTCTAGGTCCCTTCAAGATGGCAGCTGGTGATGACCACGGGGATGAAGGCGTGATGACCACCCCGCATTTGCCTGCCACTGTCTTCCGGAAGCTCTCTTGTCCCCTCCTCTCTCCTTGGCAGATGAGACGTTACTGTCCTCACTTTACAGATGGGGAAACTGAAGCCTGGACCTTGCTCGAGGTCACCCAATATTCATCCACCGACGGCTCAAAGCCAGATCTGACTATTAACCTGGGCCAGGCGATGGCATGTCAGCTGCAGGGATGCTTGGGGTACGTCCTGGGCTTTACCCTAGATAGCCAGTCTCGGGGGACAGGAAGGGTACTGAGACCCCAGGGAAGCGAAGGGTTCACCCTCAGGTGAAGGCACTTCAGACTGCAGCTTGCTGGGGGCGGGGTGCTTTCCAGGACCTGGCAGTTAGGTTCCCAGACTCCTGAACCCCTGCCCGCCCCACCCTGAAACTCACAACTAGCAAGCGCCCTCGGTCTGCTCCTGTCACCTCAGAAACACGGGGCAGAGTCCCTGCCCCACCCACCTCCTGCACCTACCCACAGGGCAGGGCAAGGGGGAGAAATGCCCTTCCAAAAAGGGACCAGGCGGCAGGACAGAAAATTCCCTCTGGGTGAATAGAATCCCAAATAAAATCCCAGACGGCCCAGCTGAGCTCCCGGGCTCTCCCGGAGAAACCCGGGGAAAAGCCCCTGGTGCCACCCTGGAGTTTCTCTGCAGGCCTGATAACTGCAGCCTGGCTGACGGGTGGGGCTGGGTCGGCCACCGGCCTATGGGGCCAGCCAGGAAGGAGGCTGGGCCAGGTGGCTGACTAGAATGGGAACCATAGTACCCCTTTCTTCTCTGAACCAAGACCAAGGACCCAGCATACACCCCACAATAACCACTCCCAGCCCTGTCAGAATCACCCCACGGGGCTCAGCCGGGAGCCAGCATCCTTCCCCCAGAATGCCCACAGCACCAGCAGGCTCAGGGTTGCTTTGGCCATGAGAAAAGCTGCTAGGGCACTTTTCTGGGTAGTCTGGGGTCAGGGAAGGGGGTAAGCAAGGATGCACACATATACACAAGTGCATGTGTGAGCACACACAGCAGCCAGAGAGATTTTTCCAAACCACAAGTCCAGTCATGTAACTGCTTCTCACTGTGTGTAAAACAAAGACCAGAATCATTCCAGGAAGCCCGCATGGCCTGCACCCTGGAGAGGCACGCTCTGCTCCACGCCCTCACTGCACTTAGGCTCCTGCTGCCCGGACCCCTCTCTCTCCAGCCACAGGTAACTCCAGGCACTGTTTGCTGACTGCCCTGAAAAGGTCAAATGCCTTATTATCTGCTTCCCTAGGGGCCCTATCCTTCATTCCCAGCACAACCTCAACTGCAATTTTAGCATCCATTTAATTATTCGATGGGAGCCCACCGCCCTCCAGAACAGAAGCTCCTTGAGCACAGAAACCAAAGCTCTTCTGCTGGTTTGTGTCGACTTTGCAGCCCTGATAGGGTCTGGATATAGAAGTGTCAAACACACATTTGGTGAATGAGTGAACACACACACACACACACACACACACACACACAGTCACGTCTCTCTCCTTCCCCTCTTACTTGCCTGTTATAAATTCT